AGGAATTCCAGCTAGGACTTCAAAGGACGCCTGCCTTACACTCCCCATAGCTCTCAGCAGGCTGGTTCTGCAAAGAGGCATTCCTGAAGTTAGCGTTCTAGTACTTTTACACCAGTATCTGCTCATAATTGTCAAGTTTGACGCTAACCTTTTCAAATGATTATGTCTAACTCTGAAGGATTGCGAAATTCGATTCCTGTGGAGAAGAGTGAGTCTACATAGGCAGCATGTCCTCTTCAACTAGGTTCACATATGGATGCAAGGTGTCTCTTTCCCTTTCTCTTTTTCAAAATAAATGGATCAGGTATGTGTCAAGCACTGTCCTTACCTCTGAGGGTACACAAATAAGATTTATTCACAGAGGGGTTCCTGATTCCGGTGTCACAAGTGCAAGAATAGAGACAAATGCAAGGTGCAATTTTGGGCCAGAGGAAAGATGGGACTGATGAAGACTAAGGTGTAAGTCTCCACAAGGATGGTGCATCTGTCTTTTAAAATACAAAGTGACTACCAAGAAGAAATAGCTGATCAAGAAGGAAGCACTAAATACTTCCAAGCTGCAATACAACCTGGAATTTCAAGGACAACCTAAGGATTCAAGCAAGGGTCAGGAGCTTGAGTCCTAGTACTGGCCCTACCAGCCATTTCCTGGATGCTGTAGGGCTGTCCTTCCAGCATTCTGAAACTTCAGTGTGCCTTCTAAACAGATGAAACGATTACTATAAAGCCCATTTAGATAAACCACCGATGTGAAAAAGTCACCTCTTCAGTGTGTTGAAATGAGAGTCAGAATTTTTATCTAATGGGTATCAGTGTGTGTGTAAAACTTTGTTAGGATGAATTTATTTCATTATTCCTTTCAGGGCACTTAAAGGAATATATATATATAATCCCACGTGTGGTATGTAGGAACAGACTTTTCTATGAAGAGTTAATGAGAAATAGTATGACTCTTCAACATTTCTTTGCCATTCTTTTAAATGTCACCACCTCGCTTTGGCTTCTGGGGCCCCTCATCTGATACGCCAGGTTACTGGGAAAGCCACCCCAAAAACTGTGTGCCGCCGCCCCCTTCCAGCCTGGCGCATTATGGCGGAAGGGCCCTCGCCTCCTCTCTGTGCTCTGGACTTATTCTCTGTTGCCATATTCATCTGTTTCTCCAAGCAGAGCATAAGCAACTAGAGGGCACCAGCTTATTCATTTTTAGACTTTCTGGTGTCTTCCACAGAATTAACAGATTAAAGAAAGGTTCACACAGGAAAGGAGTCACAAACTCTCTCCTTGTACAGAGGCAAAAGCACCCAGTGTCTTCCGAACATGTAATGTGCCCTCCTTTTTATGTTCTTTTGCCATCCAGCATCACCCCTTTGCTTTCTCACTCACCTAATTGTGTCTATTTAGGGCAGTTTGATGTCACTGGTCAGGGTGTGGCCCTGAGGTCACTATTTCAGTCTCTGTGATGCATTTAAAGTGCAGCCAGGCTTGAGAAACACTGATTTAAAGTGATCCTCAGTCCCATCTTCTCATGAAAAGATTAATGTGTCTCTAGTGACTTTGTTTTCTTTTGGAGTCAAAGCAGTTATTATTTTAATCACTCATTAGATGGCAATTCAAATACTGTCTTGTGACAGGATCTCAGTATTCGTTTGTTCTGTATTAAATTCTGATTATTCATGAATACATATATCATCTCTAATCCTAGGTCAGAAGAACCTTGAAGGCAGAAACTCTGCCTTTCTGTTTCTCTGCATCCCATGCTATATGCATGGTAGACCAAAACATAGTTTTGATTATTAAAAACAACAACAACAACAAAAAACCTAAAACAAATAAACAAGCCCCTAATTGAGGCCATTTAAATTCTACTCTAAGGACATGTCTTTGGTAAGAATAAAAATGTTCCAGAATGGGTGGGACAGAATTGTAGCAGAGTAGGAAAAGAGTAAATAAAACTTGAATGGAAAAAAAGCTAAATTAGTCCAAAAGAAAATGTTTCCCAGCTTCTTAAGAGGGTTTTTGCAAACACTGAGCAGAATAAACAAGAGAATTAACTTGGCTTGTGCCCTGATAAGGAGATTTCTTTTTTGGTTATATAATTTCACAAAGTTTCCAGGGTGTAAAGAAAGTAATCAGCCAGGGAGGACTCCTTTCTTTGGACTATACAATGCATAGGTTAATCGGCTTGCGGGTCTGCCCAGCTTGACCTGACCCCCTTCTAGCCCTGTGATCTCAGAATAAGCCTCACATTCAAGAGCCCTGGTATAGAGCTCAATATCATGGAAATGGGATAAAGCATAATCCTCACTCCATAACCTTGATCCCTTGGTAGAGTGGCTCTGTTTGTGCATTGGTTATGGGGACGGGGGAGTTATACCTAATGATCTTCTCCAACTGGCTGGTGCTCCAGACATGTGCTCCTACCAAATGGAGCTACAGGAAGCATTATTGTGAGCAGTTATATGCAATAATGTTATAATAATTTAAAGGCTAGCTTTAAATTACTGTTTTGTGCATATATCCCAGAAAAGGTTTACCTTCATAGGACTGCTCTAGTTTGTCATGAATAGACCATAAGAAAAGCTCAGAGAATCACTACATACACTCGCAGTTAAGGCAAGATAAGGCCACCCAATAGAGATGTGTTTTCTATATCAAACTTCACCTTAGTTATTAAGCCACAAATTTAACAACCAGTCCCCACAGGCATGCACATGTATAGAGATGAATGACAAGTAAATTGCCTCATCTAGGTTGGCTATTTTAATGCTGGTCATGTTAGCCTTACATCTCTAATTATCATTTGATAATATGATTCCAAGGCATTCCAAGTCTGCTCTTGATCAATTAGTAACGATAGTAACAAGTTGTCCTTTGTAGATTAAGACAACACCACTGAGCTATCTAATAGGATAGATGCTGATAAACTGTCACAGATCTATCTGCACCTTGTTCCTGGTTCTGCTTGTGACCAGCGGTTTGCACTGGACCATATACGCCAACTGAGAGCCACCAACACTCTCTGATCACAAAGAAACAAGAAACAAAACAAAACAAAACAAAAACCCAGCATTAATCCCCTTGGGTCACTACTGGCTGACACTAATAAAGGAAAATGACAGGTTAATTTATCAAAACAAAAGAGAGAGAAAAGCATGGCTCTCGCTTCTTTATCAGTAAATGCTAACTAGGATTAATAAAACTAGGACTGGGAGCTGAGTATCCATAATACTATATGTAATGGCCTGAACCACAAGTTCAATGTGTGCCATCTGAAATCTAAAACAGGGATAAACTACAAGTTTTCAAGAAGTGAGATTAAGGATTTATGAAAATGAATGAATCAGTACTGATTCACAGAGAATGTTGCTTCCTCCAAGAGAGTTGAGTCACAGTGCTTGAAAATCCTTAATCATATCCCTAAGAGCTGAAATAGGGTTTATTTAATATAATTACCCATGGTACAAATCTAAGGTCATTAGGTCTGATAGGAATATTTTTGGATGTGTTCACTGAAGAGGGAGGTGATAGACTCAGGTCCAGGATACTTGAATCATCAGGTAAAAGATATCACTGAGGTAATGAGCACGCCAGGGCCTGAAACTTCAAGAATGTTTCCCTAAATGAAAACAAGCAGCTCCATCTTCTCAGAACATGGCTGACTCAATCATCAAGCTGGAATGTTATTTACACAGTTCCAAGCAAACCAAGAAGAATCCTCTGGTCTGTTACCAAGGGCACTTGGAAAGTTATGTCTGGAACAGGCAAAGGCTCGTGTCTGTTTTTGATGATTCTTGACTCCTTGAAACAGAGCCAGTTTACCTAATGCAGGTAAAGGGTAACTAATGGCTTCCAACTGACTCCCCCAGAGAGGACCACCAACATGGTAAGTCATGCCTCCTTAATGAATAATTTGTTCTATATCTAGCAAGATGGGAAAATCTGAGTCTGAATTTTGTTCTATCCGAAGAATCTAAGCAATCACTCTATCTTCTTCCTACTTGCAGGAAAGGTCAGGATAGAGCCAGGTCCACACAGCAGGATCAAACTAAGGTCAGACATCCAAAAAAGTAAATCTCTTAATTATGAAACATCTTACAAAGGGCTCAGACTGCTCCTTTCTTTGGAGTGCGGAGGGAAGATTAAAAAAGAGTTAGAGGCCTTCCCTGGTGGTGCAGTGGGTTAAAGCACAGCACTAGGAAGCTAAAGCCAATTCAGCATGAGTTCGATCCCCGCCTGCCCTGGAGATGACCCACATGGCGTGGCAGACCTCTCCTGGCCCGCCCGCTGCTCCCCTCAGCAGTGTACTTAATTGATCTGCCTGTTCTGCTTCCCACTCTGTCTCAGGTGAAGCCTCTCACTGCCCCGCACCTCTGGCCTATACCCCAGTTCTGTATGCATAAATAAATAAATCTTAAAAAAAAAAAAAAAAAGAGGTAGAAAGCAACTTTTCTGGATGGGAGGGGGGTTCTCATTCATGCCAGGACAGAAACCATGAGTAGGGAACTCTTGTAGAAGTTACCCTGTTGGAGGTCTTTCTAGCACCATTAGTAACTTAACCACTGGGCTTATGATATAATACAAAGTTTGCAGTTTGGGGAATAGTTTATTCATTGGCAGGTTCTATCTGGCCTGAGGTTTTCCAAGCACACTAAGGACCACATACCATTTGGTTTGCACACAAATGAGCTAGTCCTCAACAAGTACCAGCTAAGTGAAAATACCAGTCACCTGCTAGTGGTGGAGAGATTGAGATCCCTAGATGTGTCAACCTTGGTCACTTAGAAGTCCCTGCCAAGTACCAGGCTCACCACATGTGTGTGGCCTGTCTTCTCACTCCATCCTAATGGCTGTCAGTGCAGGCAGAAAGGTTGGTTACTTCACCAATTCCTTGCCAGTGCTAGCTCAGGACAACATGCCAAAGCCTTCAAAGATCTACCTCAGATTGTCAAGTACACCTTCCTCTCTGCCCTTGTCAGTCAGAAAACACTCCAAGAACTCACCTGTCTTCTCTCTGAATGAAGGTTCTGAAAAATGAGCCGGGTGTTCACACTGTGACTCCAGGTGTTTCCTAGGGCAGCTGTCACACAGCTGGATCCAGAAGAGTCTGAAATAAAACAGAGCAAAAGCTTGTTCAGGGATGCCCTTTCTCCTGGTGGCGCTTCACATAAACAAGAGACTAGTTATCACTCATTCTTAGGGACCACTTGGGGGGCTCAGCTCATTACCACAAAAGTACATGAGTTAGTGAGGTCAGAGAAGAATTAAGGAATATGAAGCTAAAGATAAAAACCAGGATGTGTTTCCTTCAGCCTCAGAAAAAGTGACCAGCACTGGGCTAGAAGATAACAGAATTATATATCCATAAGGCTGTACTATAAAGCAGCTTGGAGCCTTAGCTAATAATAAATCAAGCCATTCAACGTCCATGGCAGAAAGACATGGCTGCTACACACACAGCATAAGAACTCGTTATGAAACAGTCTTAGAGTAATAGAGTTGTAAGACTTTTTTAGACTGATAAGAGACTTAACTCAATTTTTCTTATCAATATTGAAGTGGTAGCAAATGCACATAAAATCTCCTTGCCCTTCCAACCCCTGCAGATACACACCCAGTAGAGGAATGTGCAAGACCTCACCATTTCATATCTAATCTGTATTAGACATCCTTATCCCACGAGAAACATTCTTTTACTTTCTATGACTTTCTGATAAGGGGGAGGATCTGAGGTAAACTTTATCTGAGTTTCTAGTCTCCTCCACAGTAACTTCAGCTACTTTCTCACATCTCCACAGCTTCACTTGGGCTCAGCAGCAGCTGCTCCGCTCCTCTCCTTCCTCCTTAGAGGCTACTCACAGTCCTGCCATTTAGAAGCCAGTCCCCACTCTCATATCGAGCACACCCTGTGATCTCCTCTGAACCCCTGGACCTACCTTGGAATCCTGGTCTTAGGGAGCACAGGGCACATTTAATCTGCCTTGCTCCTCAGTGAGGAGAGGAAGTCTATGAGGTTGAGGTTCCACTGAGCCTTGAGCTTCTCTTTTGTTATCCACTCACTGCTTCATCAGATTTTCACCCCTAAGTGTGGAACAGAGTGGGTCTTCTTTTCTTGGCAATGTCAAGGTGGGGGTATTACAAAGCGTCTAGAGAATAGAAGCTGGAGATGCTGCCAAAGAGCTGACTTTAGAACACAGAACAGCCCTTTGCTTATCCCCCCCCAGAGAATGACCTGACACAAAACACAGCAGTGCCAAGGTTGAGAACCCCTGGGTTAGAAAACACTGTAACTTCCTCTGGCTTAAGCAGGTACAGGAATGAATTATATGGAAATCAATAACAGGTACCTTAAGAAGGTGAGGACTTCAGGTTGAGGGAGAATTTAGCACAGGGAAGAATACAATTGGGATAACCTTGATTTATCATATCTATATGCTTCAATATCATACCTATATGATTCAAATTAGACAGAAATTAATGTGAAAACAAATTATACTGATCTGATCATGTCATTTCCTTACTTAAAGTCCTCCAGCAGCCCTCTGCCCCTGAGAATGCAAAACTAGTCCTTAACAATGTCATCTTGCACCTGTAACTGTCTCTCATGCTGTCTCTCTCAACTATCATACTGGATGATCTCCAGTAACCTCCCAACTTCTCTCTCTGTGCTCATCTTCCTTGACTACTTGTCAGCAATCGATAAAGTTTCCTTCTTCTTTGTCTCCTAATACACTGGCCTTTTCTGCTTCTCATTTTACCACACTGATTACTCCTTTGCCTCTTCTGCTTTTCTTCTCTCTCTTCTTAGTTATGGGCAGACCTCAAAATCTGGCCAGGACCAAATATTTTCCTAATACCAAATGCCTTTTTAGTGCCTAGAAACATGTCGGGTGCTTGCATTTTAACATGAAGAAATTCTTTACTCTTACAAAGAGATGCAGTCACTTCCATTTTTCTTGAAACACATAATCATTTCAGTCTACCTTTCATTTTCCCCTTTCTAATAGTGGCACATTAACAGCAGTATTTTTCTGCCATAAGAAAGCCAGATGCAAGGATAATAGCTACTGATTCTTTTTCTTTTTTTGCATTGTTGAAAAATAACCTTTTTGAGATAATTCATGTATTATATATTTCATCCATTAAAGTGTACAATTTAATAACTTTTACTATATAGTAAGTCCTCACTTAACATCAGTGAAACCAATTTTACCATTGGCCAATTGAAAAGTTAAGTTCCTATAGCCTACTTATGGTCACAGAATAATTACCAAAAGTCTAAATAAAGGCCAGAAATATTTCTATTAAACAGTAACATTCATTGTTTAATTTGTTCATTTGTATTCATTCACTCATTCATTCTCCAATCTGCTACTTTGGTTCAGGGTCACAGGCAGCCAGAGCTTATCCTGGTCCCTTAGAATAATCCTGGAGAGAATGCCCTTCCATCAAGGGGCAACTCCACACCCAACACACACAGATCGAGACAAATTAAACCTGCCAATATACATGCCTTTGGGATGTGGGAGGAAACTGGTGGACCCGGAGGAAATCCACGTAGACATCCAGAGACAGCGACCTCAACAGGGAAATTTATTTTCTTGTCATCAATATTAAAATGAAATGATGTTGAACAAAATGATATTCAAGAACCCACTCTATTCAGAGTTGTTTGACCATTGCTACAACAACTTCAGAATATTTTAACTCCAAAAGAAGCCCCACCCCCTGAGCCATAGTCATCCAGGCCCTCCTTCCTGGCTCCAGCCCTCAACAACCTTTAACCTACTTTTTGTTGAATCTTAATGTCAGTTGTTGATGGGGGACAGAGGAGACAAGGTGTATTGGAGAATTCACCCACGATCTCAAAGGCAGAGCCTGTCCAGTTAGACCTACTATTGTCATCAGTTCACGGTTAGCCAGATCTTTTGATTCTTAAAAAGAAGCCAGCAATCAATATTTTTTTTTTTTAAAGATTTATTTATTTGTACATACAGAACTGGGGTACAGGCCAGAGGCTCAGGGGCGGTGAGAGGCCTCACCAGAGACAGAGTGGGGAACAGAACAGGCAGATCGACAAAGTACACTGCTGAGGGGAGCAGCGGGTGGGTCAGGAGAGGTCTGCCACACCATGTGGTCACCTCCGGGGCAGGCGGGAATTGAACTCATGCGGAGGCGGCTTTAGATTCTCATTGCAGTGCTTTAACCCGCTGCGCCACCAGGAAGGGCCCAGCAATCAATATTTTAAGTACATCTCCTGATTTTAAATGTTGGTTTCATTTTAAAAACTTAAAAACACACAAACATGCTGGTGATCCAAATATGACTCATTTCCACAAAGCTTGCGAGGTCTGTTCCATATGAGATGGCCTCGCTACTGACAAGGACACACACTCCCAGGTCGATGATGTCTAGGCCTGTCCCCACCTTTAGTTGCCTCAGCACCTGTCATCCATTCTCAACTGCAAGAATGACAAGTCTGACATAGTGAGTATTAGCATCATCCAGTCACTATCTTCAGATCAAGTCCACATCTCTCCATATGAACTTATTCCTTCTTCCTTTGGTCAACCAGTTAATGTGAGATGTCAGTCATATTTTAAACCTTCTCTCATGCCCTGTACATCTAATAACTTGAAAAGTCTTATTGATTAAACTGTAAAACCTCACCAACATCCACTCCCTATCTGCCATCCCTCTCACCCCAACCTTAGATAAGACCTATATTAGGTTCTTCCAGGGGATGGTTGCTATCATGTTTGGACTCTGCCACTGTCAGTTTCTCCCTACCATCTATACTATTACCTGAGTAACTTTCCCAGGCACATAGCTATGCATATTACCCCATTTCCCACTATGATGAATATGCTTTCCATGACCCCCGCCCCCCATACTCTTGAAGAGTTCCAAATTCCTAAGATTGGAATCCAATCTTTGATGGCACCTCTTCTAGCCTTTTTCCTCCATCCCAATTCAAATAGATTTTGCTCCAAGTTAATAACTACTTCCCCAAGTCCCCACTACATCTGGAATGCCTCTATGTCTATACATTGTTTTCAGTACCTTCTACATGTGACTTTCCTGGTCATTTCCAAAATGTTTTCCTTCTCTCAATTCCCAGAATACTTTATTTCATGATCTCATTTTACTGTCATTTTCTACACTGTGTTCTTTTCTCAGAACCCCTAATATATCTTTTAAGAGGATTAAATCCAGGTCTGATTTAGGCTAGTATGCCTGAACCACTTAACACAAGTTTTGAGACAGAGTATGGTTAATAAATATTTGTTAAATAAGTTATCCCTCCTTAAGCTTGAAATGTTCTATACTTGCTATAGCAACAGATTTACATTCTTAATTATTTTGCTTAAGCTAAATTAATAGGCTTACAGTTCTCAAGCAAACTCTAGAAGCTTGTTGCTTAGATGTTTGCTAAATGAATAGGATAAAGTGAGGTCAAGCTTTAAAATTTGCCATGGAAAAGTGACATGTGAAGAATTAGGAGTTGCTAGCCCTCCCCCCAAATATTCTGGCAATAAAACTGTAAAATGTTCCCAGATCTGAAGGATGTTTTCAGAGGTCAAAGCTGCATAAGGCCATTAGACATATTTAAAGAGCTTCATGTCCCTACATCAATAAAATCACTATAAAAATATTTTACTTGTTTTCTGGACAGATAGGCTGAGATCCTAAGTAAGGGCCATGAGCATGAATGACCACTGAGACGTTTCTAATGAAAGGCTGAGTGAAGAAGCTGAGGAGATATATTTCCAGGAGGACTTACAAACTTAAGTCACCACAAAAGCAAGGCCTTAAAAGTTAATGATAATAACAGGCAATATTTTTAAAGTACTATATACAAGGCACGGGGTAAGCCTTTTATATGGAGAGGGCTTACATCTTGTTTGGACTTCACATCCTAGTTACATTCTTCTGAATTCTTATAACTACCCTATAAGGCAGATAGTATTATCATTCCTATTGACAGACTGAGGCTATGAGGGATTAAGTAATGTTCCCAAGGTCATATGTTGGTTAACAACATAGCCAGTATTCAAAACTAGGCTGAATTTTAACTCCAACCCCAGTGTGCCTTCTCCAAATTCA